GGGGGGGGGGGGCTCCGTACTCCACACTCTCCGGCCCTGCACCACCTGTTCTCATGACTTCCCCGTCCTTTACCCCATTGACCGACACAAATCGTGGGAAATCGAGCGAGCTCCTCTCTCCTTTACCTTGATTATCTTTTCGGAGCCACAGGGTGTGTAACAAGTAGGCATCTTCTCAAGGCTGTCCAATTATAGCACGGAAATTCATGGGATCACATGTACCTCGGGTATGTCAAATTATTCAGGCTAATTAATTTTATCGCGCTTCGTATAACGCAACCTCGAAACATTCAAGCGTCTCATGATAATAAGTTACTAGAATGTACGTAGGGGTAGGTATGGTAGGACTGGCATCCATTCGGGAAGTAATATCGTCAGTACGATTCTAAAATTATATAACGATTGCCTATAAAATTCCACCAATTCAAGGTGGGAAGGTCCATCTTACCCCATGTACCCCTATTCCCCAATTGTTTGTTATCGATGTCTTTATACCCATCAATCCATAGTCGACTATTACTATTCTTAGATCCAACAAACTGCCTGCGTGATGCCTGCTATACTGTCACCAAGGGAATCGCGTTATTTGAGCCGTCAAGCTCAACAGGCACAAGTGCCAAAGCCGAATCGTTAGAGCCAAGCTTTAATTCGCAGTGGGAAGCGAAGCGGAAGGCTCCCGAAGTCGCCGGCGGAGCGGCAACGTGCTGATCAGAACTGTCAGGTTATTGTCTCCCATTTAATAGACTTCAGCCCGCGGAATACATTAAACTGAATTAAATGCCGTTACAGTTGCATTAACTCGGTTAAGCCAATGCATAATAGAGCCAGTCCGAAGCTTCTGATGTCTCCGCACTGTCGCCCAGATGTCGAAACACCATTGAATAATGTAGAAACGTCATCGATTTAGGATCGCGAATTAATAAAAAAGAAAATATCTACAGATACCTGTCTTACCGACGTAACGTTAAAAGAATAACCAGGAATCCAAATCTCCGAGCGGAATCGAAATAATTAAGGGTCCTTTCTTGCTACATATTACATTAAAGACCAGACACGCCTAATTAACTTGGCTTCCGTTTCTTCTTTCGACTTTCTCTTTCCCCCGCCCCCTTGGCAACCCCCCTCCACAATCAAAGCATCTATCTTCCTTTCATCGATTAGTCACTTGCGATTTCTGCCGGAACGATGAACTCGCCTGCAATCCCTCAGCCGTCGCGACGCGTCGCGTCACATGTTTTCCTTCGATTTTACGAAATTTATTTCCGAAGCAATAGGTACGTACAAGATGGCGGTCCCCATGTGGGAGAAAGAGTCCACGTAGCGTTATTGGAATAGAGGTTTTTCACCAATGACCCAAGGCACTTCCGGTTCTGTGCGAATGGTAGCGGTAGTGACGTGGTTAACGGACAACAACGGTCGATCAATTAGCCGTTTCCGATATTCATTCTATTGGGGTGTGGGGCAGGTGCCCGTCTGACTAAATAAACGTGGTGTCAGTCAGCGTCCGAGAGAGAAATAGGCAAGGATCGCGCTTGATTCGACACCCACGGATTTCATGCGTGTAGTATGGTCCATACTAATAGAGTGGAATCATTATTTATAATGTGCGTATATGTATAATATATGTGTATATCCATATATTTTTACTAAGGGATGCGGACGACTTCTTTTACGAAGTGACTATTTTGAGGATAAGTGGCTGTTTTGGGGACCATGAAGCGAAATTTCACACCAAATTTGTTTACATTTTTGTTTCAATTTTACGCATCCAGTATTTGTGATGGGCTTAGAAATGTTTCGTTACGTTAGATTAGCTCAAAACTGCAATGCTGTGATGTCTCAAGGTAGTGGTATTTTTTTTCTTTTTTTTTTCTAAATAGTATTATCTTGCTATTGTGAAAGATCCTTAATTTTTCGTATCCCCAAAGTATCCCTTACTCAAGTTTATATTGTGACGTGATTTTTCGAATCACGGTCCCAAGGCAACTCCGGTTACCGATACAGATAACGTTCTCGATTTCTGGTTCCTCTCGGGTCGCCACCCTGCTCTGAAGCTACGCTCTCGGGTTGATTCGTACAGTTATGTCAAGGCTCTCGTAAGATTTCGTCATTGTTTAGTTGAGGTCGAGGTGCTCGAATCTGCCGTGGGGAGATGGTCTCGACGTACCGAGTTGCCCGGCAGAGGAGACGACCCGACGGAGACGTCTCCGCGGACCGGCAGAAGCCCGGGTGAGATACCGGCGCCCCGCTGGAGGTGGGCAAAGGGCTGTAGAGCGGGCGGAGGTAGTTTTGATACGGTTAAGGGCAGGGGAGGAACCTCCTGCCCGAGTTAAGGACGTGGTGCCCAGCTGTCACCCGATGTCCTGGGGAAGCGGCCGTGTAGGATCTCCAGGAGTTACGTACCGATTCGTTAAGGAACGCTCTCGATTTGGTTTAAAGGGGCGACTGGAAGGAGATAGAAGAGTTATCGGTTATAAGGCTCTCGACCAATCAGAATGATTAGTTC